TGATACAGACGACAATGTGTGCCACCATAATCTTATTATTCTCATTTCTTCTCACAGTTCAGATCGGAACAACAAAAACAGAATACCATATATCTATCCATTTGAACATTCTATGTGATGATGTTAGAGTAGAGTAGAGTAGAGTGGAGTGAGAATGTTATTCCCACAGTTGAACACACTGCATTGGAAACAGAATACTATGTACATGTATATTTGAACATTCTATTTCATGTCGTTTGATGTGAACCGAAATCACACGCACTGGACTACTTCATTTCTTTGAATTCCATCCATTAGGAAATTCACTCATACTGACACATATTGTGGTGGTGGTGGTGGTGGTGGTGTGATACGGACGACAATATGTGCCGACACAATGTTATTATTCTCATATCTTCTCACAGTTCAGATCGGAACAACAAAAACAGAATACTAAATATCTATCCATTTGAACATTCTACATGGTGTTTGAGTAGAACAATAAGCAGATATTATCGCTAGTTTTGTGGCAATGTTTGCATGAAGGGCATATATTATGATGTATTTTATAATCACTGTTATAATACTATTCGTCATAATAACCGAATGGTGAACTCAAGAGGGTTTTTTGAGTGAGCACTCTTTGTGAAAGGATGAATCATCAATCTTAGTTTGGCCACGTTAGTATCAGTCTGTGAACGTGTTCATTTTGGATACCAGGTTCCAATTTTGTTTACCTTATTGCAACAACAGGAGAAGTAAGTGAACTTTAGGCGAAAACGACTTCTGAATTTGTTATATAACCTTGAAGGTTATGTTGATATCGATGCAATGTCCAGTACCATCCAAGTGTGACAAGATCTAGGTTTTTATGCACTCAATTCCCCCCCTTGCTGAACCAAGCTGATAAATGTTCGCGAACCCTTAGACGAACCTGCCTTATCGTGCGCCCTATATAACTTGAACCACAGGAACAGTTGAAATGGTAAATGCATGAAGAACAGCGAAGGTTAGGTAAGACATCTTTAAGTTGCTGGGTGAACATTGGACGGCTAGTGAAGGATAGACACAGACATACAAAGTAGAAAGTTTTCTTGATCGCCCTGGTTAAACGTTGCAATAGAATGTCGGCAAGAGTATCTCCCTTGAACTGGAGACGTAAAAAAAGGCTTTTTCTCTACAGTTGTTAGTTCATTTTTACGACTATTTTAAACTATGTTGACTTAAATGAACTTCTCTGTTTATCCGTTCTCGTTTGCAATGTCTCGGATGACCTGGAGTTCTTTCTCTACGCACTCTTCGGAACAAAGATACCTCGCTCTAAATGATAAGCACCTGATTAGATCACGTTTGTATTACATCGGTACGAAGGTAAGGAAGTGTGTATACTGAGCTTTGTTCCCTAGCTTTCTAAATATGGTTCTTTTGACGTAACCATCCTCTCTTCTCGTTAGGAAGACGTCGAGGAAGTGTAGAGAGTCGTTGTATTCTCCTTCGTAGGTGAAATGGATCGCTGGGTGAGCATTATTGAAGTTTTTCAAAACCAAATCACAAGTTAATTATCGATCGTTCACTACAAAAGTGTCATCCATGTAACGACAATACATTTCCATTTTCGCTATTTCCTCTTTCAACGGACTATTTTCTAGTTTTGCTAGAAATATATTCGCGAAAATAGGTCCCAGTGGGGAACCCATGGCTACTCCATTAAACTGTCTGTATATTTCATTATTAAACAGGAAGTGAACATTCGTTGTACATTTAACAGGTTGTTGTTTTGTTCACTTCATTTCCCTGAAGGTGTTTGGATCGGACTGCCGAACGAAACGTAGGAATTAATCATTTCAGTTTTGGTGAGATTTTATAAATTTCAGTGATACTCAGATCGCTGTTCGAGATCGATATCAACAGTCAAGCGTGATCGCCAACATAAAATGGAAAGTTATTCGTGTGTTGTTTCAAGAAGAATAGACACCGAGTTTATCTGATAAACGTTCGTAGCGTTAAACTGTAATTTTCACTGATGGTTATGTTTCAAACAATTTACTGCTTATAATCATATCAGGTTACTCACACAACTTTCAATCTCATTACCATGATTCAATATTTTCTCATATCTGCTGTAATTAATCATAAGTGGCTTTAGAGGTGAAAATTAAAAGTTGTAAATTACATGGTACTTGACGGAACAAAGATAGAAGTTAGAAAAGGTTAAAATTGCTCTTGAGTGAGAATAAAGTTATTAGAGTGTCAATTTAACAAGTGTGAAGAAGGTGTGAAAATATATGAAATTGATAATAGTGAATTAATTATTAAAGCAAAAGCAAACTAAAAGTAAAATTAAAGATTAAGAACAAAATCAAAAATATTTTTAACAGGGAAGGATAAGTGAAGAGGTTAAGACCAAGGTAGAATAAGAGACTGGACAAACTTTTTCTGTATACAGAGATCAGGGTTGTATTGATGTATTGCCAGCGCCTCCGCCATACACAAAAGCCGGAACCTGACGCCTTTTGTACAATTTGGCTTCACTTTGTAGATGATGTTGAAAGACGACTCTGGTGGAGCTACGTGGCCTGAGTTCACCAAATGCTCGAGAATTGAGCTAGTAATTGTCTTGTATTGTCCCTTTGCTAACCATGCCGGATAATGTTCAGAGATGCGTTTGGAAAGCGTGCGCTTTGTGCGGCCAATATAACTTGCTCCACACGAGCATGTGAATTTATAAACACACATTGAGGTGGCCCAAAGCGGCAGCTTATCCTTTACACATCCGTTGATCATTCGTCGGCTGTAGAAATTGATACGTAGCTCAGCCATAAAGAAGGCTTTCCTCAGTGATCTGCGTAAGCGATTCTTCAAGATCTCAGCTGCAGTATCACCTTTAAATTCAACACTCATAAAGAGCAGTTTCTTCGGCACAGTCTGAATTCTTTCGGGCTTTTCTCTTAGCTTCATATTTTTCTCGATGAATCTTGGAGGATATCCATTCTCTAAGAGAACTTGTCTGAGTCGCTCCAATTCCCCATCGATTGTATCACTTGAACATATCCTCCTTATTCTTGAGGATAGGGAATGGATCAAATTTCTCTTTCTTCTTAAAGGGACCCAGCTATGGAAATTTGTGTACTGACCATTCCATGTTGGTTTCCTGTAGATCGATCTTTGAAGAGAGCCATCAGATCTCCTCTTTAGAAAAACATCCAAAAAGAGGAATTCCGAGTTATTCTCTGATTCCGACGTGAATTTGATGGCATGATGGCAGCTGTTGAACTCATTAGTTATCAATTCGACGTCAGTATTGTCGTCACATATGATGAAGGTATCATCCATGTATCTTAGGTACAGATGGAAACTGTCGATAGTAGGCCATAAAATACTATTCTCCAAACTGGCCAAGAAGCAATCTGCAAGTAAAGGACCCAGTGGTGACCCCATTGCTACTCCATCTCTTTGTCTATATATCGTGTTGTTGAATTTGAATTGGACATTTAGAGTGCACCTCAAAAGTAGTTCCTTTAAGTAGTGTATCGGAACACATACGTCCACATTATTATCTTCAATGAATTTGCATAAAAAGCAGATAGTTTCAGTGAGGGGAACGTTGGTGAAAAGCGAAGTAACATCCATAGATATCATTTTCTTCCCAGATACATTAGCATCATTTATTGAATCGACGAATTCAAACGAATCAGAAACACTATGCTTGCAGAGATTATTTCTGATAGGTAGGAGGATTTCTGTGAGCCATTTGGCAGTAGCATGATATGGAGAATTTTTCATGTCCAGGATTGGACGTAGTGGCACGTTCTCTTTGTGCACTTTTGGCAGACCATATAAACGGGGAATCACGGAACCGGAGGGTCGTATTTGCTCGAATAATTCAGAGCTAATAATCGATTCGTTCTTCATATTCTTCAGCATTTGTGTTATCTTGCTTTCAATTTGTTCCGTTTGGTCTTTCTGGCTACTTTCTTTTGAAAATTTGTTTTCATCTGACAAGACTGATAACATTTTATCGATGTAGTCTTGGCGATCCATCAGGACAATGCCAGAACCTTTGTCGGGGCGTGTCACAACTAAATCTTTGTTCTTTAGAATCTCACGCAATTGCTTTCTGTGCTCGGCTGAAATCAATCTTCTGGCTTTTGGTTGCGTGTTGATGTACTGATGGCAGCTATTTAATACTGTAGACTTGAATTGTTCATATGATTTGTTGGACGCTGCAGAAAGGTCATTTGTCTGTTGGATCAGTGCTTCAAATTGGACTTTGATATCCAAGTCACTCGAGTTTGTCGAAATATCGCAGAATTTTGGACCCAACGACAAGGCTTGCAATTGGACAGGAGTCAATGATATACTAGAGTAGTTGAAGACGTATTTTTCTGGTTTGGCAGGAAAACAAGAGTAAGTGTCAGCGGCTTTGAGGCTGTTCGCGAGTTTCAGGTTTACATCTTCACAGCGTCTTCTTGAAACTGACTCGATGTAGTCCATGAAACTTCTCTGCTCGTCTTCTGTCAGCTCATATAGAGCATATGTTCTTAGTGAAATGTTTCTCTCTATCTCCGGTAGGCGAGATTTTATTTCATCGATGACGTTCAGTGTATGACGTTTCAAAGAGCGATGGTTTGGGTGAATATGATTGCGACGAAGACATTTCCAGAAGTGTTTGGGATATTCTTTCTTATCGATACAGCTCTTCAGAAAACTGATTCTCGCATTCGCTATGGCAAGCTTGACAGAAAACTTAAGAAACGTATCAAGTTCTTTCACTGTCACAGGGTTCTTGCTCTGTTTCAAATCACGGAAAATACCCATTGAGTCATGAAGAAAATAAAAGACCATGTAATTTACAACTTTTAATTTTCACCTCTAAAGCCACTTATGATTAATTACAGCAATTATGTCACCCCCTATTATTCAATAATAGACCACTATACATTCTTCTAAGTATAAATACGACTGTACAGCCTCTGAAGTTGATTTTCTCATATCTCTTGAATCGAATGTAAGTAATTTCTTCCATATTCCTTAGTTACACAAAGGGTTTAAAGATTTCCCGGAAAGTGTTTCATTTTAATGGTACCAAGAGATTCTGTTGACACCTTCCTACAGAAACCATATTCAATCTCTTCGAGATATTCTGTGACTGCACACTGCTATATGTCACAGTGTGTCACATGATCGCCACAGAGTGTAGATCACACTGTTCATTAAAGTACCTGATATGAACCTAGTAAAAGTTCACGCTTTGACGACCAGGCATAAGATCATCATACAAATCAAGGTTTTCATCAAAACTTTTTTTACTGTTTCATATTTGATAATTCTACAAATTTATCACTTTTCACGAAATAAAACCACATGATTCGATATAAAATATTTTCAGTTGTGATTTCAATGGTTTACTGAACATTCACGAGATGATATAATTATGAACACAAATCAAAATTACCCGTTAGGTGAAACCTTTGTGATCATTGAATAAACTCGACTATGAATGTAAACAACTATGAATCAAAGTATGAAAACTGAGATGGATATATATTCAACCGCTAAATGAGATTTTATCTAAGTCCATTCTATAACATCTGATGTAGGATGGCTGCTTCTTTTTGGGTAAGAAATTTCATTCTTTTCATGTGTCTTTTCCTCCCCTGTAATCTTCCTATTTCGAATTTCATTATTTGATAATTTATGAGGTTTAATGCTTGATTTGAATATCGAACAGTCATCGTATTATCAGAGAGTTATTACTGCAACACAGAATCTGGTTCTTCACGTCTTTCTAATTTTTCATATTTATTTAATCGACACCCCATTAATTGAATATCTGAACAGTTGCTTGAAGTAAAATTTTTCTGCATCATTGAGTGATGTTAAGCATAATTGTCTCATTTCAATGTTCTGTGCATTTGTAACCATATTTCATAACTGTTATGTGAATTTGCTGGCCCAAGTTGCTAGAAGATCTTATCAGAATTAAAAATTATATGGAATGCATTTTTTCTTATACAGGTGGGTGAACGTTCTGGCTATGGTTGGCGGAAGTATGCCACAATCACTTGCATGTGAGAATTTTTGATTTCCAGAATCTTTCAAATATATGCAATTATTAGTTATAAAATGTAAATAACGTTCGCGTTAACTGGTGATTATAACCTTGAGAATCAGACTCATCAGTTGTAGGTAACGAAAGCAACCAACAGTCCCATTGGTTCCAAGTAAGAATTTGATATTATGTATGTACGATATGTGCTTCTTAGTATCACCTTATTCGTAATTATTATTTCAGAAATATTGACCATTTTGGAGATCTGGTATTCGAGCTGAACGTCAAATGACTTGTCCTTTACTGATTTATAGCTTTCATATGCACTGAAATGTCTGTGGAATGAAGACTATTTCGAGTACTGGTCTTCAGAGAAAAAGACACCGTGCATCAGTGTTGCCAACAAAACCCTAGGCAGAAAAGAGAAGATATGTCGTTAAATCAAGAGAATTTTACGTTCAGTATTTATGACAAAGCTCGGTCTCTCAATGTGTGTGAGTGGGCAAACAGGATAGAAGTTCAAATGATAATAATCCATCCGCCCGTTCATTCATTAAGATACTTAACGAAATGAAATCAATTGAACTTTACATAGAAAGGATACTAAATATTCTCCTGGTGTCCCTCGATCGTCTGTTTTTCAATTACCTTTGGAACCAATTAACTGTCAACCAGTGCAATGCTTATGGAATCTGATGTGTGACTGTATGCTAGTTCTACAAAGTTTGCGAATATGTGTACGTTTCTGCTTACTCCACAATAAACAAGTCCAAGAAAAAAAGCCTTTAGCTGCTCTGGTGTGCGTAATCGTTTTCGTTTGAAATTGAATCATTTTAATAGTGTTCTTCCTCCTTTCGATAACAAAATGTAACTTAAAACCACACACTATCACACCATTAAATGTCTTTACACGAATAACCATGTTCTGGCTTCTGGAATCTAGTAGTCATTTTCTGTTTTCTGTATTTCAGAGTACTGATTATGATCCTGTGTATAATACTGATCTTGACATTCAGAAATTATTTGAAAATTTCATTGTTCCTCATAGGAATAATAGTAAGTTTTTCAGAGTATCACGTTTCTGAGTTGGCCTCCTTTTCCGTATGATCATTCTGTGTTTTGTTTTGCCAGCGTACTCGAAAATAGATTAGAGTAAGGCAAGTAACAAACGATAGTAAAGCAGAACTTAATGAATTAATCAAATTTTGGTAGAATCGCAAACCTAATGATAGCGATTCTGGTAGTAGTGATAATAATAAGAATGCGTAAATGAATTAGGTTTGTGATAGTGACAACGGGTAGTTTCAAGTTAATGAAGGATACTCGAAATAATGAACCAATAATACAATACAATAATACAATAAAGAATAAAACGACGATAATAAAAGTTAATAAGTAAGACCTGTTACCATGACAATTTCAAATTGATCATAATTTCCTTCTACTCAAAAAGACTGGGTCTAATGACACATGCCTGATTATTTGCAGGTATTCCTGCGTTTGGTTCACTGCTGACAGTGGTGAGTGACTTAACAGAGTCAGTATCACATCACTAGTCAACAAGATGCTTTATTGCTGCAATTTTTGGTAGTCTGACCGCAACTGCTTTCAATCACTCTGTGAAATGTGCCTTTATTTGACATGGATAACCGTCATTTCGTACTACTCAAGTAGTTGGTAGCGCAAAACACTCGAATTGATATTCCCAGTTTAAAAAGTCGAAGATTCGCTGACAGGCTTTCACATACTTTTCGTAATGTGAAGAAACACACGCTTTGTAGCGTGAAAAGTTCTCGTGATAGCTTTGTCAGATCTTTATTTGACTGGAACTTTTACGTCATCTTTTTTAAATGGTAGACTGGCAAGTACGGCTCTCTCCAATTTTTTTGGATAGTCTCACTGGAGCTGATTTCATTATGATATACATGGATAACTCTCTAAGCACACCTGTTCTTGAATAAAATGCACTTCAGATTCCTTCTTTCATATTGATTTTGCAAACAAATTGTACTATTCTCTGCAAATATCTGCTTTGTCTTTTGCAAAGACCTGGATTAGAATGTTTAATTTTATTGGGCTTCATTGTTCTAGAAGACTTGCTGACAATAATCTTCTGCATCTTAACAAGAAGATTCAAACCAGCAGTGAGCATGGTTCTGATGTATTTATCGATGGCTTTTATGACTATTGGATGGATTTTGTTGGCCTTAGACGGGAAGCAAGTGAGCTGGATGAAATGTTAAATGTTAATTCTTATTTCAACATTTATCCTTTTTATCACTAGAATTATTTTTAATATTTTCATTAATCGAATATAATTTCTGTAATTTTCTTATCTCAGTATTCCTGATACTGAACAGAAATATGGTTGGTACTTTTACATAAATTCAATTATCTGGGTTCATTCACCCATCTGCAAAACATTTTCGCGATTCTTTGCGAAACTGTGTTAATGCTAAAACATTCTATTAGATAATAGTGAAACATTTGATCGAAAATTCTGGTAAAATGAGTCAACGAAGTAATTCATGATTCATCTCACTGCTTCAATGAAATTGTATGAAAACTCTCTCTTTAAACAAGCACCTTTTTAATACTGTCGCATTTGACGGCATTTAGTTTTACTGCTCAATAAAGACATCTTGAATTATGTATTTCCTTAGCCTTAACATGTGATGAACATTGTGCATATAATTTTATTCATCATATTTCAGGGACTTTTAATTAACTTGGTTGCTGGCTTTTGGAACACTGCTCTAGTCTTGGTAAGTTCACACTTTTGCTTTGAATTTTTGAACGAATTCTGATCTGCCTTTATTTAATGTTTAAGTTGCGAATTCTGTTCAAAAAGTAGAGCTTACGGAAGTGAAGTAAAGTATATGATGACATGGCCACGTAATTTGGCAGAAATTATCATAAATTCTCTATGCATATTTCATGTAGCTTTTACTGGTGATTTCATTCACAAATGCAAATCACAAATTGTTATCAATCAAAAATTCAACAAACGGACATGATGTCGTATTTTTATTTTGTTTTTTGCAGGCCGCTCTGGATTTCGCCAGTTCTCTGAAATGAATTTGATTTCACTCGATTCTCTCGCATCTTCCAACGAAACCGCCGTTTTAATTCACGTTTTGTTCAAACACGTAATTTGCTTTCTGGACCAGCGAGGGATAGTTTAAGTTCCTAGCATTTGAAATAAATAAATGTTTTCATAATGGCATTTTCACTTTAGTTTCTATACAATGATTTCTTCGGAAGGTGATGGTTAGTGATTTTTACGGGTTTTCGGTTTTTCTCACTGACAGATATTTCAGTACTCGCTGACGTTTCTCAGTAGTATAAGTCAATATGCTCAACCAAAGAAACCGTATTATTAGTATTACCGTATTTGAAGCAAATAGTCAACGATATCGAACTAATTCGTAAATTCAGTGATATGTAGGTAAGGTTAATAAAGCTTTTCAAATAAATCTCAAATATAACCTTAGCTTCAATTTTGAAACAAAATCAGATTTCTTGGAAATAAGAAGCGAAACTTGATGAGTGAACCCTGTTTAAATCCAATAAACGAATCTACTTATTAACAGGTTCACACTAATTATATCAAATTGTATGGTGGTTTGTTTTTTAGGAAGCATCATCACCTCAAGCTGCGAACTCATTCATGAAAGTATGACTACCAGTATAAACTCCATCATATCTGGCTTTGTTGTCTACCATTTTTCTCGTAATTTGAATTGATGTATAATCAGTTATATTAGGAGCTTAAGGGAATTTTAAAATTGTTGGCTGTAGCTTCGTCATAGTTAAAGATCTGTTTTAATTTTGTTATGCTTGCCACACTTAAGTAAAAACAATGTATTACGACCGCCCGTTTTACGCAGACGAAGTGTATCCACTACACCAATATTAAAGGTTTGTCCTGAACAATGTGCTCATAAAAACTGAATAACTGTCAGCGTTGCTCATAGAATATTCTTCCTTCATCTCATTTATCAGGAAGCAAAGCCGCAAGCTGAAAATCAAAAAAGGATCCGGGTGAGTAACGATCACTCCACAAGGACCTAATTAAACTTCAGATGAAACGCTGTGAAATTGTCAAAATTTATTGATGAAAATATTTACAATATTAAACAGTCCATTAGTGACTAATATTTAGTATTCTGGCTTAAACTAGTACTCAGACACATGAGAATTTGCATTGAAACATCAGTACGTGCATTAACATCATCTCTCTGCCTCTTTTAATTATGGATGCTCAAACAACGTTATTTTTGACTATTTCTTAATTCAATGAAGAATTAATCTACTGAAATAATGAGTTGGATGAGTATAGCATCTCGAATTTCTACGTTTCTGGTAGTTCACAACGCTGTTGATAATCCGCGAGACTGTATTGCGTATTGTGACTCCACGTAGAGTAGTTTTCACACTGTGTACCCTCTTCCACAAAGAATGCAGAGTCACAGCCAGCTTCCATTATGCGTAAAAGAAATAAACATCATTTTATTTTTGAAATTCGACCAGAAATCTTGCGTAAGCGCAGTTGGCATTTCTCGCAAATATGAAAGCTATAGTAATTATAATAATTATTACTATCATAACACAATTGATTCACACTTGTTTATGAGTTTCGACAGGAAAATATCTTTCATTTATGTGGAGCTGTATACTTCAGTGCAGTGAGCTATCCGAATGAAAACTTTTTCACCGTTTTGAATACACTAAAATAAGTATTGAGGCATCACGCACTCGTGCATTGCTTAGGCAGAAACTGAATGGGAAACACTGAGTTAGATGTGAATTCAAAAAGGTTGACATGGAAGGCGATCGAGTGATGAGGAGGAGATGAGAGATTATGGTCCTTAGTGGAGCCAGCCGAACAAGACTACAAGAAACGGAACAAAAAGTCGATATGCTGTTGAAGCCCTGTGTTCCAAGTCGAGGCAAAAGTTGTAATAATCAAAAATGATTTATGAGAAAGTAAATGACTTACTCCATTTCAGAAACATCAACTAGTGAAAAGTTCAAAAATCTATTTTAAGTCCGCTTATCATTTTTCCTGCCTAACGAGAATAACTAGAGAGAATGTGTATAACAAAGTTGTTATGTTAAACATTTTCTCCATAAAAATCAAAATAAACGAATAAATAACATGAAAAATGTTAGCAATTCGAAATAACATGAAGTAAAATTTGATAGTGTGAAATATCGCCATATTATGAATTAAAAGTCAATCTGAACGAAGAATATACTTTTCAATAATTTCTCTTCAGGTTCTTACAATTACACAATATAATATTTACTGTCGTTACAATAAAGGCCAGTTATGTGATGGATACATTTTGCAACGTAGAATAACAGATTAGTTATGGGGTGTCAAAATAAATAATCACATTTGTGTGAAAAACGTGCTAGGCTTCAATCTATTACCGAAATATTGTAAAACGGGAGTCAATGATGGTGATTAATCATAATAGTTTTGCGGAGTGTGGGATAGGAGAATTCACAAGTCAGTTCAATGTTATAGAAATTGTCAGGTGAGTGGCTAGTACAAAGTGGTATTTATCAAAGAGGAGGAGATTATAAGACTGCAATGAGAGGTGGTTCATAATGAAATGACGAATGTGTGAAGTAAAACAGGTGGAGGCATATATTGAGAAAATAGATTATATTACTAATAATACGTCCGGATAGTATAAATGAAAAATTTGATAGTATTGAGGTAATGTGTGTATGAAGAGCATAAATTATGACAAATAATAATAATTGTAATATTATTATTTCTGACGATATTGCTGACTTATTCCTCATATTCTTTAAGACATCAGTCAGTTGATTTTCAATTAAATGTGTCTTGTTCTTTTCACCGTCGGGTTTGGCGAATTTCGTTTGGTCAGAAAGGATCGCTGAGATTTTATCATTATAATCTTGGCGATTCATAACTACGACACCCCCACCTTTGTCTGGACGGCATATGATGATATCATCATTCTTCTCTAGCTCTTTCAGTTGGTCTATATGCTCTTTAGTCAGAAGATTATTCGAGCTAGGATTTGAACTAGTATACTGATGACAGCAATCAAGAACTGTGGATTTAAAGTATTGGAATTCCTCAGGTGATGTGGGTGTAAGATCGTTGGTCTGATTAATAAGATTTTCGAATTGCACTTGAGTATGCAGTCTGTTGACTTTGGATGAACTGTTGCAGAATTTGGAAAGCGCTTAGACGTAGCCGTATATGTCCTAATTCCAAAACAGTAAAGCGCCACACACTTAATCATATTGATGCAATCAGTTCACGTGTGGTAGAATTAAACAGGAACATAACTTTGAGAAGTCATGTTCTGTTTGAACTTTCGACTGATGAACGCCGGCAATTCGAGGATTACGTTTCTTGTGTCATTGAAAAACAGTCCCAGTCTGCTAACCTCAAGCATCTTGACAGTCTCAAGCAGGTATTAGCAGAAAAGCGATTCCCGACTGACCCCAATAAATATGTATTTAATTATTCCTCCGTCACTCTTTCTGAAATTCAACTACAAGCCCTATCACTGGGCCCCAAATTCTGCAACAGTTCATCCAAAGTCAACAGACTGCATACTCAAGTGCAATTCGAAAATCTTATTAATCAGACCAACGATCTTACACCCACATCACCTGAGGAATTCCAATACTTTAAATCCACAGTTCTTGATTGCTGTCATCAGTATACTAGTTCAAATCCTAGCTCGAATAATCTTCTGACTAAAGAGCATATAGACCAACTGAAAGAGCTAGAGAAGAATGATGATATCATCATATGCCGTCCAGACAAAGGTGGGGGTGTCGTAGTTATGAATCGCCAAGATTATAATGATAAAATCTCAGCGATCCTTTCTGACCAAACGAAATTCGCCAAACCCGACGGTGAAAAGAACAAGACACATTTAATTGAAAATCAACTGACTGATGTCTTAAAGAATATGAGGAATAAGTCAGCAATATCGTCAGAAATAATAATATTACAAGTATTATTATTCGTCATAGTTTATGCCCTTCATACAAACATTACCTCAATACTATCAAATTTTTCATTTATACTATCCGGACGTATTATTAGTAATATAATCTATTTTCTCAATATATGCCTCCACCTGTTTTACTTCACACATTCGTCATTTCATTATGAACCACCTCTCATTGCAGTCTTATAATCTCCTCCTCTTTGATAAATACCACTTTGTACTAGCCACTCACCTGACAATTTCTATAACATTGAACTGACTTGTGAATTCTCCTATCCCACACTCCGCAAAACTATTATGATTAATCACCATCATTGACTCCCGTTTTACAATATTTCGGTAATAGATTGAAGCCTAGCACGTTTTTCACACAAATGTGATTATTTATTTTGACACCCCATAACTAATCTGTTATTCTACGTTGCAAAATGTATCCATCACATAACTGGCCTTTATTGTAACGACAGTAAATATTATATTGTGTAATTGTAAGAACCTGAAGAGAAATTATTGAAAAGTATATTCTTCGTTCAGATTGACTTTTAATTACCTGAAGTAGCTTCTCTCTTCGAATGAGAGCCTTTGGCGAAATTTAGTTTTTTCTCACGTATATATTAAATATGACTATTTTGATAAAAGTTACTGACTCAGTTTTTATATCTTGACTGATCATAGTACGGTTTTAGTGGTTAAATGTTACCACATTTAATAGATTACCTTTGTTACACTAGTCGAATTTTGTAAGTTATTTT